AAAAAAAAAAAGAGTTTCAGGGCACCTGGGTGGCTCAGTTGGTAAGTGTCCAGCCTCTGCTCAGGTGATGATCTCATGGTTCGTAGGTTCGAGTCCCATGTCAGCTCAGAGCCTGGAGCCTGCTTTGGATTCTGTGTCTACCTCTCTCTCTTCCCCTCCCCCACCCACACTCTGTCTCTCTCTCTCAAAAATAAATAAACCATTAAAAAAATTAAAAAAAAGAATTTTGTTTTAACAATTAAGATAAGTTAGTTTTCAAGCACTGTTCATTTGTAATGAAGGTAGCATTTGGGATTCTGGAAAGGACTTTCTAAATTCAAGGACCTATGTGTGACTGCTTTTATTGCCCTTTGTCTATTAGGTCTGTAGCACTTGACATTTTGTTTTCCTTCTCAGAGTTCACCTTGTTGGTCTAGTCTACAGAGAAACAAGACAGACTACCGTCAAGCTAAAGAGCTAAGATTTTCTGAAATGCTTTAGGAAATGTTGTAGACTGTATAACTCCCCTGTGTTATTGATGTCAGGAAATCAAGCAGAGTGCAGATATGTATCAATCAATAACTTTAGATAGGAAACTAGAGGCAGTGGAGAAGTATGAGGAGCTTAAAGAGAACCCTGGGGCTTTAGAGAGAAAAATCAAGAGCTTGAGAATAAAATTGATACTTGGGATAGAATATGGAAGCCCATGAATGAATAGTATGGCTGTTAAATGCTGATCTGAACTAAAGTAGTCATGCCAGAGCCAAGACCTGGATTTGGGAAGAAAGAATACTGGACTAGATTCTTAAGTTTTAATGTGATCTTTCATTTCTCACTGACTTTGGAATAATATAATATTCTGGGGAATAATAGTAAACTTGTAAAATTATTTTCCTTTTCCCTAATAATTCAGATGGAGTCTTGATGTTTATAGCACAGTAACCGGTTTCCTATAGTAAGCATTCCACAATGGATTAAAACTCTCCATTAAAATTTTTAAAAAGCCAAAGTGATTCATTTCCATGGGCATTCTTTTTCTTTTCCTTTTTTTTTTTTTTGTAACGTTTTTATTTTTATTTATTTTGAGAGAGAACGTGAGCAGGGGAGGAATAGAGGGAGAGAGAATCTGAAGCAAGCTGCATACTGTCAGTGCAGAGCCTGACACAGGTCTTGAACTCACGAACCACGAGACCATGACCTGAGCTGAAGTCAGATGTTTAACCGACTAAGCCACTCAGGTGCCCCAATAGGCATTATTTCTTTTGTACTTTCTTACCTCTGAATCTTTGTCATGTCCGAGAATGTATCTACAGCTTTAAAACATTTTTTTTTTTTTTGTTCTCCCTGCTATCCAGTAGGTTGAATAGGGACGCGTATAGGCAAAATCTGCCAGGAAATGAGCCCAGTAGCTGGTCTTCCCCAGGAATCATTGTCCAGTTCCTATTTATAGTGGCATCAAGTGAATAATCAGTTAAATTATCAAGTGATTTGTGATGAGTATAGGAAAGGTTGCTTTAGGACATAGAGAACATTAAGGTTTGGTGTGGACTGGATTTTCTCTGAAGAATTGAATGACAGAGGAATTGGGGTGTTTTTATGTGAGACTCCTTAGAAGTGATTAGTGGTTATGCAGGGGGCAAGGGCAACTATTACTGAGCTCCATCCAGGATCTACAATAGCCAGGAAGCCTTGGCAGGAGTTGTACAAATCCAGGGCTCATTGTCATGGTGCTGCTCTTAGTTCCTCTGCTGGTGGTAGCTTGCCATTCGTGGAGGACGCTTAGCCTCTGTCATGTCATCTGATGTGTGCTTGCCCCATAGTTAGTGTAGTGTGAAAAAGAGGAAGCTTTCTGGGAGTGTTAGAGATGAATCCCTTGATCTCTCTGGCTTTTTGGTAATCCACTGTGATGTATGCAGCCTCCCCTGTTCTACACTGTGAAATCCCTATATTATTGAAGAGAAAATGTGCACATGAGGGGGCAAGGAGAGGAGGAAGGTTACCAAGGCTGTTCAAGAACAGCATTGGCTAGTGTGGAATGAAGCAGCTGTGCCATTGTCACATGGTCCTCGTCTCTCATGCTGCTTCAGAACCAGAACAAGGCAAATGAGGGCCAGAGTAATGATTCCTAGAGAGTGTATATCTTGTTAGGTGCTTATTCAGATGCCAATGAAGACTGTAAGCATTTCCAAAACTTTGTTGTCTATCACCACAGTCTCCACAGAGCTGAGCACTGGAATGTCTGCTACTGCCTTAGTCTCTTAGAGAATCCCTTAGAGTATGGAGCCTGTTCCTCCCAGCAGGCAGTATCCACCAGCACTAAGGAGTCTTGATATTGAGGTTCTTTCCATGGCCATCTAATTAAATCAAGTGCCCATAACAGGGCTTGCCTAACTGCTTAACATTGATATTTAAACCAATTTTGAGAACAAACAAACCCATCCTTGTAAATACCTCCTTCCTATTTTAAAAAAATTGAAGCTTTAAAAGCAAAATAACAGGGTCTTTGAATTTCTGCAGCTGTATCAGCTGCAGTTCTCCAGCTTTATGTAGTATTTAAGTCTCTTAGTTTCACTCACATTTCAGATCTAGAATTCCAGAAAGTGTAGCAGAAGGTGCTGTCTGATTGGAGTGTAAATATTAAGCTTTTTGAAGCTGTGCGAATTTTTAGGATTTCTTCTGATACTTTGCAACCCAAACAAAAGCATTAGGTCCAAACACTGTGATAAATCAGTTTTATCTAGGTTTCCTTTTGCATCTTGCTTGCACAATTTTAGGCAATTAAAAAAATTCTCCTATAAATCACCTAGGAGATAGTTGTAGTTTTACCAGTTTTATGAGTGATTCCCACTTATCTGGGTCTGAAGGAAGAACCAACTATCAAAAATAGTTATCATGGTGGGGTGCCTGGGTGTCTTAGTCGGTTAAGCATCCGACTCCTGTATTTGAGTCAGGTCATGATCTCACGGTTTTGTGAACTCGAGCCCTGCATCGGGCTCTGCACCGACAGTACTGCGGAGCCTGCTTGGGATTCTCTCTCTCTCCCTGTGTGTCTGCCCTTCCCTGACTCATGCTGTCTCTGTCTCTCTCAAAATAAATAAATAAACTTTAAAAAAATGTTTAAAAATAGTTATCATGGTTAGTAGTTCATTTCTTTAAAAAAATTGATATGCCAATTATATCTCAATAAAGTTGGAAAAAATTGGTAGTTTTGTTTGCTAGTGGATCAACTATTAGTTTTTCAGAAGGTTTGGTTTGGGTTTTTGTTTTAATTACAGTCTATATAATTAGTTCTCAGCATGTTGAGGTAAAAGAGAATTGCACCAGCAAGTTTCCAATTTCTTCATCTCATTAGGTTTTTAACATGATTATTAGTATCATAATCATCTATGATGTTTTCTGTTGCAGGTTTTCACATTCTCTGATTTGCAGGGTGTCTTGATTGGCTAATTTAGGCAAATTATTTTGATTGTCTTGATGATGGTTGGCTGATTAGAACACAGCAGGGGTATAATTTCTTCCTGAGAAATGTTGCATTCTTTTGGTTTTTGGTACCAGAACACTAAGAGGGTTTTTCTTTGTGTACATTCAATTATTATATTTGCCCGTAACACTAGTAGAATGCCTGGAAAGCAATTACATTAGTGATGGAATAAGCATGAATGCTGTTAGTAGAAAAATTGGAAGTCTCAGGATGAGGTGGGGTGAAGGAATTGACTGCAACTGTAGGACCAGACTTCTGCTTTTCTTCTCTGTGTTTTTTGTTTCTGCGATTTTTTTGAGCACTGAAGGAAGTGACGCCTTGCTATAAAAGTCTTCAGAACTTGTCTGTCTGTCTAAGAATCACTCAATAATTCTGGTTTCTCATTGCACAGAACTTCTGGCCATTTCCTGACCTGAATGCTTCACGCTTAAATTGAGGACCCCACTGTGGAGCTAAAAATTTGCTCAAAAGTTATTTTAAAAAAAGTTTATATTATCTCATAACACTGTTTCTTAGCTAAACTTAATGAAAGTGGTTTTTTCGATTTTGGTGAGTCTTTGCCCACCCCTGCCAAGAATTAGTTCTCTTTTGTTATTGGTTGTAAAGGTATTTCCATTCAAGATTGTTTGCTTTCCATGTCTTTTGGTTACCACAAATTTTCATAATGGACTGAATGGTAAAGACAGCTTATTTGTTACTATCGTGATGTTTTGGAAGGAATAATGATTTTGATTCTGCATATATACACACTTAAATAAGTGGTATACTAGGGGCGCCTGGGTAGCCCAGTCGGTTGAGCATCCAACTTCGGCTCAGGTCATGATCTCACGGTCTGTGAGTTCGAGCCCCACGTTGGGCTCTGTGCTGACAGCTCAGAGCCTGGAACCTATGTCAGGTTCTGTGTCTCCCTGTTTCTCTGCCCCTCCTTTGCTCATGCTCTATCTCTCTCTGTCTCTCAAAAATAAATTAACAAAAAAATAAAAATAAAAATAAATAAACAAATGTGCTTTTAAGTGGTATACTAAATAAATATATTTTAATTCATAGTTCTGGCAGAATAGAAAGGTATATGCTTAAAAGATCTTATTATCACTTACCTTGACTCTTTCAGAAAATTCCATGAAAGGACTTATTACCTTTCCTTTTGTGACCTGTGTTGCTTTTTTAGCTAATGCTCTGAAAGCCATACCTCTCAAGAATAAAATCAAAACTAGGCTATATAAAGCCATGAGCATGAAATCTACTGAAAACTCAGCTGAACATCTTCCTGCTTAATCTTGAAGTCATCCCCATGTCCTTCACTATCATTCGGGGGAATTATTTAGAACAAAACATCATCAGTAAAAGATCAGTGCTGTGTAAAACCCACTTTCAAAGAGCTTTTAAAGACCCAAGCCTGAACAAGGGATTTCCTGGGCTTGCTAAACAAGCTCCTAGAAACCTGTTAAATTCAGTTTTACAGTTAAAATGCCAAGGAAATGTAAAAAGATTTATTAACTGTGTAAGCTTAAGGTAGGAGTGAGGTATAATACCTGTGGAAAGTATTCAAGAAGTTCTCAGTAAATTCAAGAACCACAAGTTTTCAGCATGAGTTCTGCTTTGTTTTTTTTTCCCTTAAGTCTTAATTTCTGTTTTTTATCTCAACAAAGAGAAGTTGAATAAATAGGGAACTTGGATTATAACAAGAATAGAAAGGTAGTACCCTATACTTGAGAGAGAGTGGTAGAAATGGAAGGGTGTGGGCTCTGGCATTAGACTCAAGTTCACATTCTTGTTTTGTGATCCTGGGCATGTCACTTGGCCCCAGCTTCCTCAGCTGTAAAACAGGGTCATCATAGATACCTGAGAGGTTGTGGAGAGCTCTTGATGGGACAGGATGTGAGAGTACCTGCCTCCTAGAAGGCTTTCCGTTCATGTTTCCTTCATGGTTCCTAAAGCTCATTGAGGAATATTTAGGCAGCTAGTCCTGGTCTCTCTGCTTGTACCAATAAGTGTTTGATTATATTGCGCTCATAATGAAGGAGATACCTAATGAAACCTCCTATAGAGGCAAATAGTAATGACTTGATTCCAACACTGCCAGTAGAGCCTCCCATCCGAGAAACGGGTATTTGGTGTTAATAAGTTAAATTTCAGAAACTAATGGACTCTGCTAATTGAATTCATCTTTGTTAATTAATAAGGTTCTAGGAAATTGGCTGCTTTGTTGTGTAATGTCCTGCAAAAGAGCAGTAAGACCTAATGACTACAAGTTCACTAGTTCCGTCCCTCTCTTTCCTATACATGGGGTGGTAGTGACCAAAGTATCATCTTACACTTTTCTTTGTCTTGAAATGTTATTGTTTAAACACTTGGAATGATTGACTTAAGAGTGAATGTGGAAAAAACATGGATTGGGGAATACTGTGCTATCTGGCTAGTTTACATTTGAAGAGTTTCTTAAGGGGAAACTTGGGAAATCAGTCCAGTAACTACTATTGCAGTGCTGCAGCATAAGGGTATATTGGTTTTATTTGCCCGGTTGTGCCAAAAGCAACACTGGGGAAGACTTTTTTTTCCCACTTGGGAGATTAAAAAAAAAAAAAAA